TTTAGACTTTATTCACTATAACGATGCTGAGCATACATCACAAACTTTGCGAAAACTCTCTTCTAAATCGTGTTCAAGTATATATCAAGTTTGTCCTTACGGTTGCTTATCTGGCTTTAGTACTATATTAGTAACCATTAATGCCCGTGAAGAAAAATCGATCGCGATTCCGTTGTTAAGTCATGAAATGGATTTCACTCATGTTTATAGCTTAATAGATACTATAGAGATATTTATAGCTAATAATCTAGGTACGAGAACGTATCTAAATTGTTTTAATTTTGTCATTGGATATAAAGATCGAAGTCGAGAATTCGCAAGCTGGATGCAAATTGTAATCGTCGATAAGCCTTTACAGTTTGGGTGGCAAATTACTCAACACGTAGCAGTTAAAGAACTTGGTTTTAATGTAACTTATGTCGCTAAAGATAAATCTATCATTACTAAGATGGAATCAGAAATGGAAGAACTTACAGATGCTTGGACGAGTCATAAGATGACTGAAGAAGATTATTTTGATTCAGTAGATCAAAATAGTTGGTCTGAGCTTGCGTTACAATTTTGGTCAGAATATAACACAATTCTAGTAAAGCAAGGTCAAGATAAAACTGTGTATATATACGGGTTCGAGAACGATATACTGAATGCTGTTTCAAGTATTCATAAGCTAAGTAAAACTTACTTTGAAGAGAAAGCTCAGAATGAAGTAGAGAAAGTTACAGCTGAAACAGCTAAATGGTATGTAAAAGCTGAAGAATCTAAGACTTACTTTGAAGTGAAGCTAAACTACGAAATTGAAAAAAACTACAAGATTTATACTAAAGATAAGACCAAGAAGACTTTTGTAATCGATGCAGGAAATAAAACGATCGATTTCGGCGAAATGAATCTGAAGTTTGTTGATGGAACAGAGTATCCTATAGGAAAATCGTCAATAACAGGTGTAGCAAAGTATTGATATCTCATCAGTAATTACATATATATATATATATATATATATATATGTATACACTTATAGAATTTTTATAATTATTAGCTACTTTACTTGTATAATTAAAAATAGAATATATAATTTCGAAAGATTTCGATTAAGTCTATTTCCAGAGAGAAATTCGAAACTAGAAATATATCTAATTTATCATAGTTTGATAGTTATCTTTATTTATTGCTTTACTTGTATAATTAATTAATTGAATTAAAGATCGAATATAAAGTATAGAAAGATTGTAGTCTAATCTTATGTATGAATTGGTAGCTAGTAGCTTATCAAATTTATTATAAGTTACTAATTTATGAAGGAGTTAGTTATTCCTTACAGCGATCGTGATTTAATCTTATGATGGCATTATAATATATATGGCTTGCTGTTTATTAGAATTGGCTATACCTACTAACTGGGAATACCAAAATCAAGAAGAGATCAAAGATGGCTACTTTCGCATAGCCGATGTTCAAATCAGGAGGAAATAA